ACTCATTGAGATTATGTAATTTATTTTTAAAATCCCTCAGTTAGCTCTAGTAAGTATAGAGCTAATGTTAGAATCTGGGTCTGGTTCCAGAATCCATATTCTATGTCCCACTACGCTGGGGGAAAAATGTAGTTAATAACTTTTTATCTGGTTTCATACATGTCTTGGGGAAATAGTTTTTCTCCTGTAAGAAACCCTTTGTGGCATCAATAATTCTGTCTCCTGTGTAAGCATGGGAATGATATTAACCAGGATTGTTAATTTTCTAAATCTTTAAAAAGATTTTAGGGCCATGTACTTATTTAGGAATTCATATACCATATTTTTACATCTCTAAATCAGTACTTTCAGTTCACCTTAATGAACCAGATACACTTTTTAAAATCTCTTTAAAGGGTCCTTCTGAGTTAAGAGTCTTTTCTTTTTTTTTTTTTTTTCTGAGACAGAGTCTCGCTCAGTCGCCCAGACTGGAGAGCAGCGATCTCAGCTCACTGCAAGCTCTACCTCCCGGGTTCACGCCATTCTCCTGCCTCAGCCTCCGGAGTAACTGGGACTACAGGTGCCTGCCACCATGCCTGGCTAATTTTTTTTGTATTTTTAGTAGAGACGGGGTTTCACCATGTTAGCCAGGATCGTCTCGATCTCCTGACCTTGTGATCCACCTGCCTCAGCCTCCCAAAGTGCTGGGATTGCAGGCATGAGCCACTGCGCCTGGCCGCGTTAAGAGTCTTTTTAATCCCTCTGGGTTACTCAAAAAAATGTTATTTCTGCATAAACACACATTTCTTAGTATACTTATTAAAAGGACCCAGAGATGTCTACCTTACTTTCTTGCTAACTTCTTCATAGTGGTACCAAAATCACTTTGCAAGTGTGTTCTTCTGTCTATAGTAAAAGATGTTCATGTGAAGGTAAGAGGTTCCTGATTGTTCCCGAGTGATTAGAGGATGGATAATTTACTAAGGATTTAAAGAGGTTAGAAAAAATTTTACCAGTTAGAAGATATTTGAATATGTCATGCTGTTGGGATATTTTCTTTCTTACATTAGAGTCTATCTTTATGAGATACTATAATCCAGATCTGTATTGTCCAATACAGTAACCACTAGCCACATGTAACAATTTAAGAATGATAAAATTAAAAATTCAGTTCCACAGTCACAATAGCCACGTTTCAAGTGCTTAATAGCTAGCTACTTTTGGCTAATGACTGACATGTTAAACAGTGCAGATAGGCTGAGTGCGGTGGCTCACGCCTGTAATCCCAGCACTTTGGGAAGCTGAGACGGGAATATCACAAGGTCGGGAGATAGAGACCATCCTGGTTAACATGGTGAAACCCTGTCTCTACTAAAAATACAAACAAAAAAAATTAGCCGGGCATGGTGGGAGGCTGAGGCAGGAGAATCACTTGAACCCAGGAGGCAGAGGTTGCAGTGAGCTGAGCTTGTGCCACTGCACTCCAGCCTGGGCAACAGAGCAAGACTCTGTCTCAAAAAAAAAAAAAAAGGGTGCAGTTAATAGAACTTTTAAGTAATTGTAGAAAGTTTTATTGCACAGTGTTGATCTAGACGTCTGGTTTCTTTTAGACTTAATTTTTAAAATCCTTTATAACAGAAAATTGAACTGAAATATACAGTAATATCTAAGCATAACAATTCTCATTTTATACACCGATTTCTAGTCTTTGTTCTTCACAGTATTTTAACAGTTGAAATTGTGGAGAATAGTTTAATATAAACTAATATGCATTTTCTCTTTTACCTTTGAAAATATCCTTAAAGATTGGTCTCAAACAGATAAAATATTTAGTTTTGGATGAAGCTGATCGCATGTTGGATATGGGTTTTGGTCCAGAAATGAAGAAGTTAATTTCCTGCCCAGGAATGCCATCAAAGGAACAGCGCCAAACCCTTATGTTCAGTGCAACTTTTCCAGAGGAAATTCAAAGGTTAAGTTTTTTTCTTAAAAATAATTTGGTTATATACATACTTTTATCAAAGTGGAAGCAATGTGAATATCCTATTTTTAGAGATTTGTCTTTAAGATTTTAATATAGGTAGTTTAAAAAGTAGATGTATTTCTAAAATCTAAAATGTTTCCCACATTTTCCATTGTTTCTTACCTTTATTCCTGGCTTTATGTTAACATCACATTTTATTTAAGAAGTGTGTGTGTGTGTGTGTGTGTGTGTGTGTGTGTTGCATAGAATGCAGCTAGGGTTTAATAAGGGCTTACTAAATTAAGTTATTTTTATTATTATGCCTTCTTTTCAAACCTAAATGTATAGGATTTGGGAGAACTGAGGCTTTGGTAGAAAATTCATATACCAATTATTGGCAGATATTTGAAGATCATGTTATATACCATGTGGTCTAGTGAATTCAGAGATTAGGGTGACACATCCCTACTGGAATGGTGACTCTTTTTCCTGCCAGCCCCTTGTCTCAAGGAGCCAGAAGTGCCCATGCAACAACAGAAGCTTATACAGATGGTCCTGTGGTTCAACATATGATTTTATGATTTTTCAACTTTGTAATGGTTTATCGTAGGTATTAATTACATTTTTGACTTAAGATATTTTGGACTTACAATAGGTTTATCAGGATGTTAACCCTGTTGTAAGTGGGGAACCATCTGTAATTCAGCAGGACTCTTACTATTTTCTCTAGTGGAACTGTTTTCTCTTTGGGAACCAAGACGTCAAAACCTATAGAACGTAAAGTTGGTGGACAAGAAGGGATGGGAAGCATAGATTTCCCAAGTGGGTCATTGAGAGTGATGGTAGGTGGGCCTGTATTGCTTGCTTTCCTGGATTCCCAGACTCATGCACCATATATGGATATTTGATTTGAAGAATTACTGTGTTGTGTTGGATAATGCCCTATCTTCATAAAGAGTTGCCTCCAAACTGGCCCTTGAACTTTTTTTTCTGCAGACAGTTCCAATGTTCTCTCAGGTTGGCAGTTTCTGAGTGATGCGGTATATATTATCTGTGAATCCTATGGTTATGGGCCTGTCCCAACGCCTCTTTTGCTTTAAAGTTGGTCCCCTGGTTTGATAGAATGTTACATGGGATCCTGTGCTAGTATATCAAACATTCCCAAGCCCTTGAATAGTGGTGCTGGCTATTGATCTATTTTTTATATGGTAAATCTTTGTGTAAAGTTAGGAAGAGTTCTTTATTGAGGGAAAATAGAACTCATAAGACAGCATTAGGTCAATTGGCAGGATATTTTTCTTTCTTAGTGATACACAAAACAATCATTACTTAACAGTTGAATAGTATTTCCTTCCTTCCTTTCCTTTCCTTTCCTTTTTCCTTTCCTTTTTCCTTTCCTTTCTTTCTTTCTTTTTTTTTTTCATTTGAGACGAAGTCTTGCTCAGTTGCCCAGGCTGGAGTGAAATGGTGCAATCTTGGCTCACTGAAACCTCCATCTCCTGGGTTCAAGCGATTCTCCTGCCTCAGCCACCCGAGTAGCTGGGATTTCAGGCGCCTGCCACCACGCCTGGTTAATTTTTTTTTTTTTTTGTATTTTTAGTAGAGATGGGGTTTCACCATGTTGGCCAGGCTGGTCTCGGAATCCTGACCTCAGGTGATCTGCCCGTCTCGGCCTCCCAAAGTGCTGGGATTACAGGCATGAGCCACCGCACCCTGCCCTGGATAGTATTTTCAATTGGAGATGGGATATTTGCATTCCCACCATTTGCTTTGGTAACTATGTAATTAGCAGCCTGACTCTTTTTAGATTTACCCTGAAATGGGAAAGTATTTGTATGTTGACCACCCAAAATGGCAAACGTGTACTACTGTCAGTAATATTTGTTGAGGATCTTTTGTGAATCATATTTGATTATAAGTTTTGGGGATATATGTTAAACAAAATAAGCTCCTATCTGACCTTGGGTTGTTTACATTCTTTGCTTCCTGACTTCCTCAATTGCTTCATTGTCTACTCTTAAATGTTACCAGTTGCCCATCATTCTGTGCAAAGTCCTTTTCTCATTCTGCATATTCCCTGAGTTATGGTATATCCGTTCCCTTGGCTTCTAGTTATACCTGTAACTCTGCCATGGCTTCTAGTTATACCTGTAACTCTCCCAGATTTCTTCCCTGTATTCCTAATCTCTCACTGTAGCCCCAGACTTTTTTTTTTTTTTTTTTTTTTTTTTTTTTTTTTTTTTTGGAGACAGAGTTTCACTCTTGTTGTCCAGGCTAGAGTACAATGGCACAATCTCAGCTCACTACAACCACCGCCTCCAGGGTTCAAGTGATTCTGTCTCAGCCTCCCCAGTGGCTGGGATTATAGGCATGTACCACCACATCTGGCTAATTTTTTATTTTTAGTAGAGATGGGGTTTCTCCGTGTTGGTCAGGCTGGTCTTGAACTCCTGACCTCAGGTGATCCGCCCGCCTCGGCCTCCCAAAGTGCTGAGATTGTAAGTGTGAGCCACCACACCCGGCCCAGACTTTCAAATTTAACTTCTTGGGGTGTTTTTTCTCTCAGATGAATGACTAGTAACACACGTTCATGTCCAAAATAGAATGCAATTTTTCTTCAGCTCCCTTTTTCCAGTTTTCTTTATTCTGGTTATTGGCATCGTGATCTTTTGAAGCCAGAAATTTTTGAATCATGGTGATTCTTCTCTCACAGTCTTTTAACTCCGCTTTTAAAAATACTCAACTTGGGCCAGGCGCGGTAGCTCATTCCTATAATCCCAGCACTTTGGGGAGGCTAAGGTGGGAGGAGCATTGGAGCCTAGAAGTTCAGGCCCAGCCTGGGCAACATAGTGAGACCCTGTCTATGTAAAAAAAAAAATTTTTAATTAGCTGGGTGTGGTGACATGCACCTGTAGGTTCAGCTACTCAGGAGGCTAAAGTGGGAGGATGTCTTGAGCCCGGGAAGTTGAGGCTGCAGTGAGCCATGGTTGTGCCACTATACTCTGGCCTGGGCAACAGAGTAAGACCTTGTCTCAGTACAACGTGGCAGTGATATTAGGGTTCTCCAGAAGGACAGAACCAATAATATATATATATAGATATAAAAGGAAGTTTATTAGGGAAAATTGGCTCACACAATCACAAGGTAAACTCCCATGATAGGCTGTCTGCAAGCTGCAGAAGAGAGAAACCAGCAGTGGCTTAGTCCAAGTCTGAAAGCCTCAAAACCAAGGAAGCTGATAGATCCCCCAAGAAGCCGCTGGTGCAAGTCCCAGAGTTCAAAGTCTGAAGAACCTGGAGTATGATGTCCAAGGGCAGGAGGAGCAGAAGCAAGCATCCAGCATGGGAAGAAGAAAGAGAGCCGGAAGACTCAGCAAGCAAAGTTACCCCACCTTCTTCTGCCTACGTCGTCGTAACTGCGCCGGTAGCCAACTGGGTGGTGTCCACCCACATTTAGGGTGGGCTTTCTTCTCCCAGTCTACCAACTGAAATGTCAGTCTCCTCTGGTAGCACCCTCAGAGACACATCCAGAAACAGTTTTTCACTGACCATCTAGGCATCCCTCAATCCAGTCAAGTTGACACCAAGTATTAACCATTACAGCAGTAATCTCGAAAATATTTCATATCTGTTAGCTTCTTCTCTATTTCCCACCTTAATTTAGGTCCTTATCAGTTTTGCCCTGCTCACTGGAAGTGGCTTTTTAACCTGTCTCCCTGCTTCTAGTGTCACTTCTGCATTAGTGGCAATGCCAAAATAAAGTCTGATTCTTTTAGACATTTATTTAAAATAAACCTTCCCATATCTTTCCATCTTCATAGACTGATTTTTAAACTCTTTAACACATGACAATCTCAGGCTTACCTGCTACTTTCTTACCTGGAGTCGTGTGTTTCTAGTCTACTAGAGCTATTTCCTCTTGGCTGAGAAAGCTGAATTTTACTTTTCTCATTATTTGTGCTTGTTTCTTCTTTCCTTCTGCATAGAATGCCTTTCCCCAGTCGTTAGTGTTCCACATTCTTGCCTGCTGCTTCCCTAGATGAAGCTTCAAACCTGAAGACTTTTTTTTTTTTTTTTTTTTGAGATACGGTCTCACTCTTGTTGCCCAGGCTGGAGTTCAGAGGCACAATCATGGTTCACTGCCACCTCGACCTCCCTGACTCAAGCCATCCTAGGCCCACCTCAGCCTTCTGGGTAGCTGGGACTACAGGTGTGCGCATACGTACCTGGCTAATTTTTTATTTTTTGTAGATTTGGGGTTTCACCATGTTGGCCAGAATGGTCTCAAACTCCTGGACTCAAGTGATCCACACGCCTTGGCCTTCCAAAGTGCTAGGATTATAGGCATGAGCCACTGTGCCCCGCCTCAAACTTGAGGCTTTTTCTAAATCATTTCATCCATTTCCTGCCAGTGTATCTTGTGAAAGAAACTATTTAAGTCACTTTGTACATTTCTTGGAACATAGTGTTCAGTAAACATTATTCTAACACTAAAATTGTAAGTTTTAAAATATATCTTTCCTACTTGATGTGATGACCTCATAGGCTAATGTTCATCTTTCTACTTCCAGTACCTTGTACACATGACACAAAACACTGTAGTTTTAGTGAATGAAAAGAATGATGGAGAATTTCAGATGATTTTAACTTTTGTGCCTGGGTGAGAGAGTGACTCTAAAAGAAGGCAAAAAAAAACTTTGCTTTTATGATAAGAGATGAAGTAAGGAGAAAGAAGAAGCAGTGATTTATTAAGATTCTGGATATGCTGAATTTGAGCTATTTTCATGAAGGAGCCAGCTGGTAAATAAGGGACTGCTACATAGGAGGGAGAAGCATTGAAGAGAGATTTGAACCTCCCCATTTATCCCTAAAAACTCATCTTTCTCATTAGCAACTTTGTCCACTTCCCCCATGTTTCTATGTGATCTAAAGCAAGACTTCTCAGTTGCATGCTGATAGTGAGTTAACTATGTGTCAAGATATTGATACCCTTAACCTTTGGGGCAGGCACACCTATCCTGATTCCACTATGTCCCTGGGCCTTTCATCCTGTCTCACTTGTTTTGCCCAATTGTGCCTTGCAAATACTACTTTCTATGTGTGTCATGACATAGAGAGCACTGACCTAAGATCTGGTTTGCTTGAAATCATTCATTTGAAGTAGAGTAATTTAATAGTTAATATTTTCAGAAAACAACTAATAATAGCATACATAAAAACAATGAGTGGAAGAACAGAATTTGTGCCTTAGGCTTACATTTCAGTTTTTACTAAAAAATAATTCCTGCTTATTGCAGTTTATTTGTTTTAGTTCATGCTTTTTTTAAGTGTTATACACATATTTTATATAGTTTTGCGTGGATAGCAAATCCACTTGTAATTACCATATACATACTGTGACAAACTTTTTCTCTAGTAGTTACGTATTTTGCAAAATCCTAATATTTTATACTGATCTTTCAAAATAGTACTTGGGTGATATAAGTAACCAACCATTTTATAGCTGTCGTAATCTGCTGTCTGATTAATATTGAGATAACACCTACAGGAATTCAGTGGATATTATGGATACTAATGGAGAAGAGGATAAGTTAAAGAATAATCTTTTGTTTTTCAAGGTTGGCTGCAGAGTTTTTAAAGTCGAATTATCTGTTTGTTGCTGTTGGACAAGTGGGTGGAGCATGTAGAGATGTTCAGCAGACCGTTCTCCAAGTTGGCCAGTTCTCAAAAAGAGAAAAACTTGTTGAAATTCTACGAAACATAGGTATCTTATAGATGTTGATACATTTTTTGTCATGGTTTTTTTTAATGAATAATTTTTAAAAATCACTAAAGAATTGTTTGGTCTGACTTTTAATAAGTTTGTTTAATAAGTTCTCCCTCTAAAGCTCTTTTATAAAAAATTTTATGATTCAGTTTTCTGGGTAAATTATATAAAAATACAGGCGTTTCTCCACCATTAAGTTTGAAAATAGGAAGGATTTGAGACTGCGTTTTAACTATTCCACCAGAAGTATATCTATTTTTTGTTTTAGGAAACTAGAAAGGCTTAGTAGTGACACATGTTTACATCACACTATTACTCCATCAAAAGCAGATTGTTTTTCTGTTTCTGGTTCCTAGTTCTTGCTTCCTAAGGCTTCCCAAATTCATAGATTTGAATAACTTTTTAGCTAAAAGGGGCTTAAGATCTAGTTGTCTTCCTTCGCAATATCTGTGGGAAATTTTTTTTCTCCTCTACTCCCCCAATCAATTTTTATTTTTATTTTATTGTTTTTTTAGAGACATGGTCTCACTTTGTTGCCTGGCCTGAAATAATTGTGTAGTCATAGTTCACGGCAGCCTCAAACTCCTGGCCTCAAGCAATCCTCCCACCTCAGCTTCCCAAGTAGCTAGGACTATAGGCATGCACCACCATGCCTGGCTAATTCTTTATTATTTTTTTGTAGAGATAGAGGTCTCACTGTTGACCAGGCTGGTCTTGAACTGTTGGCCTCGATCCTCCTACCTTGTCCTCCCAAAGTGCTGAGGTTACAGCCATGAGCCACTGTACTCACCCCAATTTTACTTTTTATTATTTTTATTTTTTTGAGGCGGAGCCTTGCTTTATTGCCAGGGCTGGAGTGCAGTAGCATGACCACGGCTCATTGCAGCCTCAAGCTCCCAGGCTTAAGCAGTTCTCCCACGTCAGTCTCCTGAGTAGCTGAGACTGCAGGCATGTACCACCATGCCCAGCCAGTTTTTTAGTTTTTGTAGACATGGGGTTTTTACCATGTTGCCCAGGCTGGTTTTGAACTCCTGGGCTCAAGTGATCCACTCACACTGGCCTTCCAAAGTGCTGGAATTACAGGCGTAAGCTGCCATTCCTGGCCCAATTTTTATTTTTGAAGTCTTGTTTTTTTAGTTTGGTTGTTTAAGATAGCCTTATTTTGAGACTGGAAACAAAAATTTTAAATATGTTCATTTTAATGCCTTCTGATTACCTCACAGGCTAGATCTACTTATATGTTATACTTTCCCCATCCACACCCTCCATTTTAGTACTTGCGTTTCAGCTTGAATGTCAGTGTTGAGACAGAGGAGTGTGAAGGTGACTCATCTTTTAATTTCCAATAATGAGCAAGAAGAAAAAATGGAAAGGTGACTTTAAAAGCACTTACAGGCTTCTAGTCTTTAGTTTGTGCTGAGTTTTATAAAAACTTTTAAAAACCAAATACTCATCTTAAGTTTGAGAAATTTTATTGGTTGGCTTCATCAAGTGTTTCATAATATACACTGATAGCATATAAAAATAATAATAGCTATGGGCCATGTACCATTCTAATTATTGTACATGTGTTAGCTCATTTAATTCCCAAAACAACCTTATGAAGTAGATTTTGTCATTATCCCCATTTTAGGGATGAAGAAACAAATATGGAGAGGTCAAGTAACTAGCCCACCATAAGTCGATGCTGCTAATGCAGAAGAGATGAGCACTACATGGTTTGCTGAAGTTAGAATGTATTTCTAATATAGGCACCTTAAGATTTTTTTTTTTTTTTTCCTGAGATGGAGTCTCGCTCTGTCGCCCAGGCTGGAGTGCAGTAGCATGATCTCAGCTCACTGCAACCTCCGCCTCCCAGGTTCAAGCGATTCTCCTGCCTCAGCCTCCCAAGTAGCTGGGACTAGAGAGGCACCCACCACCACGCCCGGCTAATTTTTTTGTATTTTTAGTAGAGATAAGGTTTCACCGTGTTAGCCAGGATGGTCTTGATCTCCTGACCTCGTGATCTGCCCACCTCGGCCTTCCAGAGTGCTGGGATTGCAGGCATGAGCCACTGCGCCCGGCCAAGATTTTTTTATATATGAGTTTGTGGGATAAAGTTTATTTTGCAAATAATCCAAAAGGAGAGTTTTTCAGAAGTACTGGTTTGCCCTTGAGAAAAGGTCAATGTATTATATATGAGCACTATTGATATACTTCTGTATTATTTAAGCTGTGAAATATTTTTTTGGTTTAGTGTTCATAGTTGATATCTTTTTAACTTTGCATGTAATATCCATCCAGTATATCCTCAAATTATACAAATTTTTGTTCATATAATTTATCTCTTTTTCTACTCTTTCACTTAATTATGCTATTTTTTTCCTTTTTCCTTTAAATATGTAGGTTTATTTTAGAGTAGTATAGCCAAACTGCCTTTTTCATAATTTTAAGTCAACATGGATCAAAGAATTTATTGAGCTCTTTAGTTACCAAAGGAACCAGTAAGATGTTACAGCTAGTCAAAAGGAGAATTCAAAAAATACATGTATGTTTAGGCCAAGCTTGTCCAACCCACAGCCCACAGGCCATATGCAGCCCAGGATAGCTTTGAATGTGGTTCAATGCAAATTCATAACCTTTCTTAAAACATGATGAGTTTTTTTGTTTGTTTGTTTGTTTTGTTGTTTTTTTAGCTCATCAGCTATCAGTAGTGTTAGCATATTTTATGTGTGACCCAAGACAATTCTCCTAATGTGGCCCAGGGAAGCCAAAAGATTGGACACCCCTGGTTTAGGCAATTAGGAATGCTAAAGTTAACTTAGAGATAGATGTAAAACTGGTCATTATTCAAATGCAATAATCAATTACATTTCAGGGGAAAACTTTATTTGCATTTTTACTGAGAATCATTGGCATTGCTGTCAATTGCAACAGTTATGAAAAAGACTATAGAAGGCACAAAGAGTGTGCTAGACAGTGATCTTTTTTGCTTACTTCAAATTCTTCCATAATGTTTTCTGACAGCCTGTATCTACCTCATGACCATAATAATCTCAGAGAGAGTCTTGATGACAAGAAGTTTGGTCTTATGTTTGGCTTGCTTATTGGCATGGGTGCAGCAAGATTGTTCATTAACAATAAATAGGCCTCCTTCAGTTTGTTTTGCAAATCTAGAGCCGTACAGTATTGACTTTTACTAAAGTCACAAAATTAACTTTTGTCTGGAAGTTTTCATAAGGAATGTCAGATTGAACTTTAAAAATCCTTGATTATTTGCTATCTAAGGGATAGGAAACTAAGTCTCAGAAACTCTCTCTACTAGGTTTCACCTGCAGTAGGTATACATTGGAGTGAATCTCACTCTTCTAAAGGTCCCCCATATTTCCTGTGGTTCATGTCCTGTCAGGAAGTGTATGGCTTTCCTTAAAATCTCCAAGACTGGGCCGTGTAAGACAAGCACCAGGCCAGCTTATATGGAAGGTCTTCGTAGGCACTGATTCCATAGGGAAAGCCAACCTTTATTCCTTAAAAAAAGTATCTGGTTGTACCTACTATGCCGTTTTCAAATATGAAATCCAGGTGAGATGTCAGTTGCACAGGTAACTTGTCCACTTATATCTTGGTTAAAGGAGGCAGACAGATTCTTATTTAACTGTTGCAGATAACTACCATGAAAAGTAAGGAGACTTAGTTAAGAAATCTGAATTTGGGTTGGGATGGGGTGTCAGTGAGATGCAAGGTCAGATACGATTTTAGAATGTTTGATTTTAGTTTACAAAAGCAGTCTACTAAAATGTGTAGATGACAGCTAGCTTAAGAGGACAAAAAGCTTCTTCATATATCCAGAAAATAGAATATTAAAATAATATTAACAGTATTGCCAACACATGACCACAGAGAGATTTTCTCCATCAGCTCATTCAGTCCTTATGTAATTCTTACTTCATTGTATATGTTAGGGATCAGCTTGCATGATTCTGTCTGTTTCTAGAAGGACTAGTCCTGGAAATCTCACTCAGTCCAGTGATAGGGTCTAAAAGTTGTCAAAGCAGTCAACTTTAGAACCTTCTACCCAAGACTGTTCTTTGAAGTATTAATAGTTCTTCACAAGGCTTGGAGTCTCTCCTTTAGGACATAGACTCTGATCTATATAGCTTACAGCACAGCCTTTGGGCAAGCATCTAAAGAAGACAAAAGCTGTCTGAAGATGACAGATTTAATGATCATGGTAAATTTGTTACCGGTAATTGTTAAATATCAAGGGTCTGAGGAGGGTTCATAATAAGAATAATGCTACTGATAAAATTTTTTCTATGACATGCAAAATAAAGGTAATAAAGCCATTCAAAAAAATACTAGGCAAAACATCTGATTAAGCCTATTTTCAAAGAAGAAACCTATTTATGAAAATGGGCAGATGTAATTTTTCATATCAAGAATATAAAGTAAATAGACCTAGTAGTATAATTATGAAAATTGTTTTTACCTCACAGACCTCTTTAGAGGATCTTGGAGACTCTGGGAAAGACTTACTTTGTCATGAAGTGTCAGTTTGTTCCAGAACACTGAAAAAGCACAATGAAAGACAAAATGGGAACTGAGTTCACCTGTAGATGTAGAAATAGGGTCCAGACATTTATATTTTTACAGAATGCCATGTGTAAGTCTGACGTACATCCCTAGTGAAGAACCACTGGAGAAGATGCTAGATTCAAGTTAGGAAAGAAGTAAGGTTATAGACGTTTTAAAAAGTGAAATTATAATGGGCAGCGCTGTACTGTTGGCATCAGGCAGCATACCTTCAGGACTTTGATAAAGATAGGGAAACTCCATAGAGTTACTTTATAGAATTTTGAACAGTGTTTCTCCTGAGGGTAAAAACATACTTTGGATGGTGAGGGAATTTACAAATCATGAGGGACTCCCATAAAGCATACATTTAAAAAAAAAAAAAAATACAGGCCGAATATCCCATATCCAAAATGGTTGAGACCAGAAGTGTTTCAGATTTTTTT